GGGGTTCCTGGAAGGCAGGATATGGCTACAGGGGAGACCAAAAGCTCATGACAGCTCCTAACCTGCAGCTACTTTCGGCCAGACAGATACAATTATGTTACTAATCTGAGATAGAAATGGTCCTGTAATCACAGTGCTCAGAAGAGGGAGCCAGCTGAGGGTCCACCAGAACTGAGGATCACAGGACACAGTACAATCGGGTAGTGACTGAGCTGGAAGCTCCCTCCCTGGTAGCTGGCTTTCATGGTTCATGGTGCCAGAAGGTGTTACGCAGGCCCTGGGGGTGGGCAGGGTGGGAGTCATGCTTCCCTAGCTGTGAACCCTTTAAGCTACTGGCCTACCAGGGAAGATGTGCCTGCTGGTGCAGTAAAGCCATATGACTGTTATGGAAGTGACCAGTGGCTTCTGATCAGATCTGAAGTGTGCTCCAAAGAGGGAGCTCATGCCTGATGGAAGTCCATGGCTGGGGAGGGGACAGGGAGAACCTGCTGCTGTTGTTCTGCTAAATGGATGTGAGGCCAAACCGCCATCTAAACACTTAGGTTTGTACATGTGTGTTAGGTTAGTGAGGCTCTCAGCCTTGGTCAGAGAAACCTCTGTTTGCTGTGAGTGACAGCAGCTACTGACTGACAGCTGCCCAAAGCGCTGAGAATAAGTGACTGTTGAGTGCTCAGCCCCAAATCAAGCATCTCTATCACAGCCCACCCACCCCAAGACTTGAGGGAGCATTACAGAAGAGGAGACAGAAAGAAGTAATAGCCAGAGCATGGGAAATAGCGTTGTCTCCTGGACAGGACACAGTGGTTGCACATATGACCTCAAAGCAGCCATGATTCTCTGCACACGATCAAACATGTTAACATTCCATCATGAACAGGGAGGGGCTCATGAAGAGCTGATGGCTACTGAAGCAGGGAGAGTCATTTTCTTCAGTGGTGTAGGCAATAGTAAGCTGCCCGAGATGGTACCACCCAGCCCTACACTCATGCAGGCGGTGCCGATGAGATGCAGCGGGCCACAAGAAAAGATGGGAAAGTTGGGGATGACTTGTTGAGGAAGCTAAGGGGTTCAGCAGCAGTAGTAGGGAGATAAAAGAGAGAAGTGGAGGGAATTGATTATATACATGCATGAGATTGTCAGAGAATGAATGTTTCAGTGTTATGAGCATGTATACATGAAGAAGGAACCATGAGTAGAGTTAGGGCTGGGAAAGTGTTCAGTCAGTAAGCATATTTCTTACATTAGGACCTGTGTTTGATCCCCAGAACTCACATAAAGATCCAGGTGTGGTGTGCACGCCTGTAACCTGAGTGTTGGGGAGGTGAAGACAGGCAGATCCATGGGCTCACTGGCCAGCCAGCCTAGCTAAGTCAATGAGCCAGCTGGTGAGAGACTCTGACCCCAAACAAGGTGGACTGTGCCTGAGGAAAGGCACCTGAGGTTGACCTCTGGCCTCATACAGTGCTCACATGTACACCTGTGCACTCACACACACAACAGGTCACAGTTGCACAGGCTGGGTGTACCTTTACCCAAGGCTGGGGACCCTGAAGATTGCAGAACTCTCTGAATGTTCACATACAGGTGAGCATCCCTAACACAAAATTCTGAGATTCAGAGTTGCCTAAGCACACTACTGAGGTGCGGCCAAGCACAGGACGTTCCAGGTTCCAGAGCTTCAGATGAGGGATATTCATGACCTGGGAGGGGGAAGTGTAAAGGTGGATGATACCAGGAGCCCTCAGGAACTATGCCAAGGAGGCAAGATCCATTCCCAAGAGACATCAGCCCCATGCATTGTCCAAGGATGCAAGGACCCTGTGTGACTCTTTCCCAGCTCTGCCTTGAGCCCAAGTCAAGATGGATACTTGATTATATCCGGAGCGGAGTTGAATGAATGAGGCTTTGGTGCTCTTAGCCTTGGCCTCCTGGGCTACAAACTAAGGACTGTACACATTTTCCTGCAGCTGGCCTGCACAGAGCACATGTGGGGTCAGCAACCAGCCCTGGGTGGCCCAGAATCTCCTGACAGATGAGGTAGATCCTGGTGACATAGCTGTTATTGATCTGAGCAGGTTGTTGGCAGAGAGGAAGGTTGTAATTGCCTCTGTTGTTTCATTGTTAGCACCCAGAGGGGAATTAAAACCTTCAGCTAATGGGGTGCCTAGTCCCAAACCTGAGATGCATTGACTCCAGCCAGGTCCCTGGAATACCAAGTGGATGCTCAGGGCATCATTTTTAAGCAGATCCTGCCTGCAGTTGTGGTTCTTTGCAGACCCAAGGAAGGGATGGGTCAGGGGTATCGTCATGGAGAGGCTTAGTGTCTCTAAGATTACATCGGGAAGTATGAGGATTTCCAGGAGCCCCAGTCATAAGCACCACCCACCTCCAACCACAGTGGCTTCAGTATACACTCTGCAGTGATTCAGATGGGACCATGAAGGCCCCTTGATGGAGACCAGGTACTGCTTAGAGCATGTATGTGGAATCCTGTCACTGATGCCCAAGGTCAGCCAGCCCCCACTATATCCCAGGAGCTGGTTGGAAATGCTAACTCCTTGCTGTGGCCAGTCTGGCCAATCTACAGACTAGAATCTACCACTTACTAAGTGGGAAATCTTGATCTGAAGTCGTGACACAGTACAAAGAGGCCAGTCAGTAAGGTGCTGCTGTGGGTTAGGTACAAACTCAACCACTTAGCCCTGACTTCCCTCCCTGCTCTGAACATCACAGTGCTAAGTAAAATCAAAATTTTACAAGAAAGGTGGTTGTAATACCACACCATTCAGGGTAAACATTCAAACCATGAAATTCCTTTAGTGTTTGTCACAAGCCTGAGGACAGGCCTGTCGTTCATACCCAAGACTAATCAATAGTCAACACGTTAATGATCTTACACAGACCTACTACTACTCAGGGAAGAAATACGCCTCTGAGTGCAAGTGAATGAAACTGACTCCAAGGTCCAGGTACACGAACTTAACCAATACACTCTTGGTCTGACTTTTATCACCTACAGAGCAGGAAGGTTTCCAGAAGAGACGGCACAGCCTGGGAGAGTCACCTCATTCCCCAATGACAGGAAAGCCAACTTTTCTGAAGGCTGCTATTTCCTGAACATATGTGTCTCACACAGTCCTGGGATGCTGTGGTGACTGCAACAGACCCAGTCCCCAACCCCAGACCTGAGGAAAGGAACTGGGGTTTCTCCCCCACCAGATTCCAGACAGCAGCATCTCCCTCCCTGCCCTGCTGTGAGCCAGCACATCCCTGTCCTCCTGCTCCAGCGGCCCCTCACCCACCCCCAACTCAGCCCATCTCCTGGGCTTACATCCAAGCTGAGAAGAGATGGGGCGTATTTCATCCAGGGACGATCCCTCATCCCGTCACTGATTTACAGGGAATGAGAATTTCTCCCTAGGCGGACCTTCTCCCACAACCATGTTCACAGCTCCTGGGAGGAGGGCCAGGGTGGCCTTCCAGTATAAACTGGGGTTCTGGTGGGAACAGTTTTCTCTTGGGCCCGGGGCTCCCACCTGTAAGGTTCCTGGGATGGGGACACGGACAAGACAGTAAGCAGAGTACTCCGACATGGCTGAGCCAGGAGGCTGGGCTTGCCCTGTGCACCTGCCCATTCCCAACCCACTTCTTAGCCACACTGGGTCTCTGCATCCCTATCACCTCACAGAGTCCAGGAAGTGGCCTTTGGTGACCAGGGACAGCTACACCTCAGCTGAGATGTAAGAGCACCCCCACAGACACGACACCCATTTTCCACAGAGGACACACCACGGCCAGGACTGCCAAACCCTCCCCAGCTGCTTGTCCCCGTCAGCTTTAAACTAAGGATCCAGATGTGTGCAACTTTATGAGCATCACTGCAGAAGGACTGGGTATCCTGGGGTGAAACCCAACTTGGCCACTTGTGACAGGTAACTTCCCATGGTGAGGGCTGCTCTTTGGCAGTCTGAAACCTACATCAGTGTGCTGTTTTCTCATTGGGGTTGTAGCTCAGCAATCTGAATAGACACAGTTATTGTCTTATAGTTTGGGGGTCTAGGCAACTAAAATCAAGATGTCAGAAATTGCCAAGAGAGATCATTAGGTAAAGTCTTTTCTTCATAAGCATAAAAAACAGAGATTGGCCAACTTCTGACTTCCAGGTGCATGTGCATGAGAGAGAGAAACAGGAGAGAGGAGAAGAGAGAGAAGAGGAGAAGAGAAGAGATTAGGATGTCAATAGGTGGCAGGGTCAGCTCTCAGCAGCATCTGGAGACATCTCAGACATCTCCCATGGATTTAAGTTTGAACATTGGTTTCCTGTTATATTGCAGAGGTGCCTGGGCCTTTAGGAGGAGAACCCTTGCCAAAAGAAGTGGGCCACTGGCCTTTGAGGGAAGTGTGAGGGAAGTCTGGTTCTCACCTCTCTCTGCTCCCTGCTCTTCAAATAAGTAAAACAGTGAAGAGGTCATGGAACCTGAGATGATGATGTGAACGCTTAGTGTGGTCAGAATGGTGACATCTGAGCAAGATCTGAAGGGATAGCATTCTAAGAAGAGAAGTTGCGTTACAAAGGTCCTACAGCAGGGAAGCACCTAGAGGTGAAATGAAGGACGACCTCCGTGGAGCTACACGGGTGGAGAGAACCAGGGTGGAAGTGAGGCTGGAGGTTGCCAGGAGCCAGGCAGGGCTTACCACTTCATTCTATATGGTATGGATTCCAGAATGGGTTTCTGTGAGAAAACAGCTTGTCAGAGGTGCGGCACACTCAGCCCTGTTTACTGTGGAAGTTTGGGCGGCACCTTGACAGGAAGAGGGGGGAGAGCTTTAATGGTAGTGCCCCACCCCTGGTTCCTTCCTCACTCTGCTTCCTGTTCTGAAGCGCTCTCAGCAGCCTCTGCCGCCCTACACTCCCTCAGTTACAAACTGAGCAGCCCATGGCCTGTAAATTCTGAGACTATGGGCTGAGTAAATCTCCCCTCCCTGCTGACGTCAGGACTCGAGGTTAGAGAAACATGAGAACAGGGAACACAGACAGAATCGGGCCTCACAAGGCAGGGCAGGGCAGGTTCCTGTCCACAGCAGTGCAGGACCTCTCTTGCCACTAAGGTAACAATCTCAGGACTGCAGTGAGGGTCCGGGCAGCCAGTGAGGCCCTGAGCTCTGTGGTGCCTTTGGGACGTGCTCTACGCTCTCTCCGTTCAGTTTTCTAGCATGCCGCCATCTTTGCCTGCTTCCCGGGTGCCAGGTCTGAAGTTCCTGTTACCTTTGCCATATGTAAAAGCTCAAGATCAGGGCGGTGGTGTCTCCTTTTCGTCAGGTTCCTCCATAATCCTGTCTCTCCTAGACGCTCAGCCAGCTCAGAGTCACACCTCATACCCCCTGGGGTTTCTGAGGTCAAAGCTGAGGGTCCAGCTTCAGATGTCAAAGAATGGAACCCCAGTCCTGGTTCCACTTTCCCTTAACCTTTGCTCCACTCTTTTTCTCCAATACTTCCTTTGATTTATTAACAAAACTGTTATTTCTCCTACTTCAGGTCAGGCAGTGCGAATCTGACAAATAGATACAGGAAAGATGAATGGGAGGGGAGGAGCAAGCACGGAGGAAACCAAACCCCAAGACAAGCAAGTCCCTCACACTTAGGCCTGCATCCGCCGAGCTTCTGCTGGCTTTAGACCTGCTGCCTGGCGTCCCTTGCAGAGGGTAAGCTCAATGTCTCCTTGTCTGTCACATGGCCTAGCAGAGCCTCATGCTGACCCACACTTGGTATGCACCCCAAAGCATGAGTCCCCAGGGTCCACCACAGTTCTTCTAGCCCACTGTGCACCCTAGGACAGAGACTTAGCACACCAGTACCTCTATCACGGTCCTAGGAGAGTTGGTGACAGAGTCCCTGAAGACAGGAAAAGTCTGGCAGTCATTAAGGAGCCCCTGGGAGCTGGATGCCATGCAGGCCTGAACATCCACACTGGCTCATTTTCATGTTTCGTTCATCTTTGTGATACAGAAGACCATATAGGGCGCAGTGGTCAAACACAAGGGCAGGTCCAGCCTCCCATGGGCATGGTGGGAGGTGGGAGAGAGGCTGTGTCAGATGGGCCCTGTTTCAACGGAGTTCTGTGTACAAGGTGCTTGGGCAAAGGGCAGACACAAGGAAAGCGAGATTCAGCTGGGCGCACAGCCTGACAAGCCAGATGGCAGTGATAACCTGGGGAGGGAGTTGTTGTCCTCTATGAAATACAGCCAGGCTGATGGAAATGCAGGGGAGAGGGGAAGAAGCCGGGGATGGTGATTTGTGTGTGTCTCGATTGGAAGGCAGGTCTGGGGATGGAGCCTGGCATTCACAGGAAACAAGGGCATGCCGTGCCCTATGGAAAAGGAGTCCCTGCCACAGCTTCCAAAGCAGCAGAAACTGTGTGTCCTTGGCACCACATAGAAATGGCAAAGACCCCCCAGGGCCACGCTGGTGTCCCGCCGTGTGTCCCCTCAAAGGTTCTCTTCTCAGCTCCAAGGAACGGCTGAGCATGTCCATTGTGTGCTCAACTTTTTAACGTTCATGAATTTAGAGTGGGTGCACTGTATCAGAAGTAAACTGTGCCTCAACCGAGACAGCATCTTTTCGTTTATTTTCATTGTGTGTGTGAAGGTGCAGACAGATGTGCATGCCCATGGGAGGCTAGAGGAGACCACCAAGTCCTCCTCTGACACTTTCTATTTCATCCCTTTGAGGCGGGTTCTCTCACTGAACCCGGAACTCTCTAATTTAGCCAGACTAGCTGGTCAGAAATCTCCCAGGATCCTTCCCAGCTCCGGGTTTATAAGCACTGACAGCCATGTTCACCTTTATGTGGGCATAGAGATTAGAACTCAGATTCCCAGACTTGTCCACCAAGTGCTCCCACAACCACTCAAAGAGTGCTGACTGCTTCTGCCCACAAAGACAGTGAGCTAGGTCTGGCTGGGTTGCTATACCCCAAGTTACCAGTAGGTGTTGCTAGCCAGCCCATCCTTCCTACACCCAATACTGAATAAAACATCTTCACTCAAATGGAAATGTTAAAGATTACATTGTAGCCAGTGAGGGCTATCGCTGAATGGTGAGTTTGCTTCTCCCCAGGCAGACAACATAACAGGCTCAGTCCCATGGCACACCTGTCATTTGAAGGCTCTGTGCAGGAACTTCCTGGGATGCAGCTGGGACCCCTCTCAACCTCCTCCCCAGTGGAGCCTGTGAACACTGTGGTCACTTGTGGACAGGCCTATGGACAGTCCTACTCCTTGGGTCTTAGTAGACATCTCTTCCCCTTCCCTTCATAGTGAGATGAACACAATAACAATATTTTCCCAACTCCCTCTGAGGAGAAAGTCAGGTGTTAAATGGAAGGTTTGCTTGAGCGCATCGCTGGGACCTAAGCAAAATCATATTCAGAAAGTCATATTTATTATCTCCATAAAGTAACCTGCATGGCAGCATGCAGGACCCAGATAGGAGGCTCAGATGCACAGAGAGATAAATCAGGCCTGTCACAGGGGTGTGAGCCTGTGAGGCACAGCACTCTACCTGGGAGGGACAGGTGAGGTGCTCGGCAGCTGTGGAGATGGGGACTCCTGGAGACATAAGAGGGAGGATATAAGTCCCCAACAGAGTCTGCTGAGACAGTCCATGGTGCGCCAGGGGTGAATAGCCATGTGACAAAGATAAAAGGGGACAGACTCTCCGGACAGGAAACAGCTCATGAGAATTCCAAGGGCTGTTGAAGCAAGGAAGATAGGAATGGGGACCTCAGGGTTCAGTGGGTCAAGTCATTGTTGCTCAGAATGCTGGAAGCTGTGTCTGCTGGACAAGAGTGAGTTTCATCCAGAGGAGGAGACTTTGGGCTGATTTTCCCACAGTCACCAAATGGCTGGACAAGGTCCTCTGTATAGAATGAGGAACAGAAAAGGAGAGGAAGGGATGTACGACCAGCTGTCAGCACCTAGACTCTTGGCTCTGTGCCTCCCTGGAACATCACCTTGTCTCATGGTTGGCATGCCACCATGCTCTTCCAGTCAGTGGCAACTGACTGACCTCTAGGCCAAGATCTATCCCACACTCCAGCAGGCCTCTCCAGTTGCCAGCATCTTCCGAGGGGAGTCCAGTAGGTTCTGCTGTGAAACCAGAGTTTCTGCCTGTCCTCTCCGTACAGTTTTCTGGAGGAGGGTTCTGTTCCAGAACTCCATCTCTGCGTCCAAACATAGGAATCACAGCCATGCACCACCCCACAGGTTTTTATGTGAGTTTATTTTTCACATTAACAAGGTTAGCACTTTACCCACCGAGTCATCCCACTGGCCTTGGAAAGAAAAAAAAAAGCAATCCATTCATGGCTAAAAGAACAGATGAGCTGAATTTTAACACACCCGTCAACCCAGCACTCAGAAAGCTGAGGCAGAGGAATAGTCCAAGACTAGCCTGAACTACAACGCAAGACCCTGTCTTACATAGGAAAATTTTATTTAATTTTAAGGATTTAATATGGTGGTATATTGTTTGTGTTTTAATAAATAAAGCTTTCTGAAGTCATACAGGTCAGGAAGTGGAGGCACACACCTTTAATCCCAGGATTTGGGAGACAGAGGCAAATGCATCTCTGAGTTCAAGGCCACCCTGGGCTGCACAAAATTGAATCTGTCTAAAAGAAAAACAGAACTCACAAAGAGGTAATCCCAGCACTTAGGATCACATGCCTTTAGTTCCAGCACTAAGTAGGTGGAGACAGGAATGATAAGACAGAGAGAGGAACATAAAGGGGAAGAGAAAGGAACTCAGTGGAGTGTGGAGTCTGAGGTTTGGTGGAGACAGGATCTTGCCCTTTTGGTTTAAAGATCTGGTAGAGGTAAAAGGTCTCTCCAGTGGTTGTCTGCTTTACTATTCTGATCTTCAGGTTGAACCCCAATATCTGTCTCTGGGGTTTTATTATTAATGCTACACTTGGCGCCCAAAATTGGGGGTAAGAATTCATGGGAAAAAAAAATAACATCTGCCTGTGGCTTTCCAGCCACCGGCTTAGTCCAGAACTACAAGCAGCTGGAGTCACTGCCCTATTGGCTAGGTTTTTCTTTCTTCTCTCTTGGTGGGCTTTCCCTGAACCCCGTTCTTGGGCTGCTGCCAAACTAGGCAGCTGTCTTGAATTCCTGTCAGGTTTTTACTGTTCTATGCAGCAGCAATAAGCCTCACATCTTCATCAACATCGTGGGCAGATTTGCTAAGAAAATTGGGAATTCTTAAAGAGAGAAATTATTTAAAAGAGAGAGCTTTTCCCCACATTAAAAAAATTGGAAGCACCATCGCAGTGGAAGGATTTGGATCTCTGTGTGATAATATGCTGGACAGTTTGAAAACGGAATGATACAATGAGAGGATCACTAATTTAGATGAGATTTACATAATGTCAATTGTAAACATTATTAGCATTATCATTTTTGTCTTATCACTAAAAAAAGTTTACTAATATGAGTGCTAAGGTTCAGATCTTAGAAACACTTAATAAAACAGATCATAGAGATACTCAAATCCAGACAGAGGAATTTAATGGAGAACCAATTTCAGCATTGTATTATAAGAATAGAGAGGAACAGCCTAAGATTTTCAAACAACTGACTTTAATATACCCAGTGCCCTTACAAGACTTTGCAAATGATAGAGCAAGAGTTGATGGACTCCTGTGGCAATGTTAGATTCAAGGAGATTCAAGGAAGCAATAGTTTTATATGGCATGCACTCACCTTTTTTGAAGCAAATGTTAAACTTGAGGTCAGTTTATAATAGAATTATCCCTAAAGACTGAATAGATTTGTTTAAAACTGTATTAGAGCCTGGTCCACAGTTACCATGGAGTACCTGGTTCGAGAAGAGACTAAGACTATTGAACAACAGAGTAAAGCTAGAGATAGGGAAATCTCTCAAGATCAAATTCTTGGAGAAAGAAATTATACTACTGTATAAAGGCAATCTCGACATGATGGTCACATCCTAGCTTTACGCCATGCAGCAGTATTTAATGTTTGGGACAGAATTGAAGAAGTGGGAAAGAAGATTTAGTCATTTACTAAAGTCAGAGGGCCCAAAAGAAACCGTAACTGATTTCCTACAAAGATCGACATCAGCAGTAAATAGAATAATACCAAACTTAGAAGCTAGACAAATAATAATCTAATCTCTGGCTTTTGGAAATATTAATTCTCATGGAAAAGAAAAATTATGCTGCTAATGGCAAGGTCAGCACCTTTGGAGGAATGGATCCGAGATACAATTAATATTGACTCACAGGACCATGATGACACTTGGGTAGGAGAGGTGATTTCCAGAGGTATGAAGAAAACTAGAAATGTCAAGTGTTTAAAATGTGGCAAACAAAGTTGTTGACAGAGGTTTCTGTTCCACCTGGTCCAGCAGCCATTCAGTCCCAAAGAAACACACAGAAGTCTACATTAACTGTAAACTGGTTGGACTATTAGCTTAGGCTTCTTAATAACTCTTACATCTTAAATTAGCTCATAATTCTTGTCTGTGTTAGCCATGAGTCTTGGTACCTTTTGTCAGTGAGGCATTTTCATCTTGTTTCCTCTGTGACGACTGTAAACTGAGCCTTTCTTCTTCCCATAATTCTCCTGTTCTGGTCACCCTGACTATACTTCCTGCCTGGCTACTGGCTGATCAGCAT